CACTCACCTACTACCTATGGAAGATTCGTTCTGTTAGTTCATTCCGGGAAGACGACAACTGTGATGTTTAAAACAACAAATCAGTGGAGCATGCAAGGATTTTCAAGTCGACTGCCTCTGGAGAACAACGGAGGTTCTGTGTGATTTTAAGCAGATGGATGATACTAAATTGTTAACCGGTAAATAAATTAAATACTCCCACGAACCATTATTTACACCCCTTAAAATACATATGACATTTTTATCCGTGACAAGTTTATCGATAACAAATAATTTATATACATTTGAATGTCATCATTCAACTGTAGAAATAGTTTAAGTGCAGTTCTTATCTAGGCACATCCATGATATCCGCGATGCAGCATTGTGTTTGCGGCTCACTCTAAACATGTATCCTATCTATACAGAGACACCTTCCTCCACGTGAAGTTGGAATGAACTTGCACTCTAACTGCTGATTTGCCATTTCGAAAGTGATGCATTGGATTGCGGATAAGCAGGATATATACCAATAATAACTAGTGAGTAAATATCAACAAATAATATAGTGAATTAAAATCAGTGTCAAAGGCAATCAGTAGTAGTGAGTTTAAATAAATCAATGTCAATCAATAAGCAAACAAATAATTAGTGATTTAATATCAGTGTCAAAGGCAATCAGTTAGTCGTGAGTTGAAATCAATCAATGTCAGTCAATAAGCAGTGAGCTGAAATTAATCAATGTCAGTCAATAAGCAGTGAGTTGATACCAATGGAAATCAACAACCAGTGAGTTGATATCATGTTCATATTACAATGTGAGTTGATATCATGAAAATGAACACCGATTTCGTTATGCAGTTCAGTTTATAGTATAACCCACCTCACTAATCCATTAAAACAACATGAGTCTACCTCGGCGAAACATCAAAGGATTTTCACTGTAATACCAAATGTCGTCTTAAGGGGAAGACACCTAATCCTGATTCGATTATTGCAAGACTATTTGAAAGACAGCTTCATTGTGGTTTCAAGAGTACACATCTGCCATATACAATTCAGTGTTCCATTTTACAGTTCGAGTGACTATACAAACAATAGAGATACATAAACCATACCAAAGGGACAACGGGACTCATGTCAGAGATGAAATGACTGCAACTTAGCGCAATGAAACTCATGTAATACAGAGTGTGAATAAACGATGTATAAAGAAATCATCAAATTATTTTTATTTCATTTCGTCTTGATAAGATGTTAAAATATGCCTTGTAAGATTTGTGCGGCGATCTACTTCTGGGAACCATATTCCCTCCCACTTGAAGTTGTTTACAGGAGAAAACAACATCATTTGAAGAAAGTCCATATTGAATTATCCAAAGATGGTGTCTAATCATTTTCAATTAAGACAATTCTGGTAGTGAAATGAAAATTTCTGCCAAAATTCTGCCAGAAATTTCTGCGGAAAAAATTAATTCTGCCAGTAATTTCTGCAGAAATGCATTTTCAGAGCCCATTTGTGAGCTTATGAACACGTGAGCGCACTGGCACATGAACTTTTTGGGTTCATCTCCTCGAGATCTTTCCAATGATATAAATTATGTCTTGGTAGCTCGCTTCCTTCTGTGTGTCAAGTTAGGACTCGCTGGCCATTCCTAAGTTGTCCCACCCGGCCTTGGGCCCAGTGAGTAGTATTCCGAATTTCGGGAGACATGCGACTGTACATACGACAAAGTGGGTAAGCACCAGTAATGTCATTCGCTTATATGTTTGTAGCTGGTGCGAGGAAAATCTGGGTTAACTACATAGTTCTTTGTACCACCAGCCTCTGTTATAGTCATTATTTAAAAGTCACTCACAAGCTTATAATGCACAGTAAGATACACATTAACATATAAAGGTTAAGATTTCACATGATTTTATTGCTTCGATAGAATTCTGTGGACAATACGATATTGAAACCTTCTTTCCTTAGTGTTATGAAAAGCTCTAAATGGTACAAAATGATAGGTATTCCATACGTCAGGTGGAAAATAGTGATGAAGGTCTTTTTCCCATTTACCGTAATAACCTAAACGTGGAATAGAGTTTACCTTGTTTAGGAGCATTGTATTGAAAATATTGCAGCCTTTCTTATTTTCATAGAGTATTTTTACATTCGGGGAAATAAAGGGTAAATGTCTTTGCTTTGGCAATATTGTAGCTTTTTGTTTTTAATACTGTTTTATTGAAGATAATATTCACGCATATTCAAAGACATTTGTCACTACTCTATACATCTCTTTAAACTCAGTAAAAAGACAGAAAGGATTCATCATTTTTTAATACGTCATTTATAAATTTTACATTAATTTTGCTTTTAATTAGTGTTCATATAATATAGATTTGCTTCCATTTTTTGTATTGTTATTTGTCCAAATATACTGTTTGCAAAAGTCATATTTCTTATAAGGGTATCGTTCTTGTAAATCAGCCCAAGCTCCCAGAACATCTTTCCAGAAAAGGTTTTTAAGTTTTCGGATGATGTGTGTTTTCAGATAATTTGAGCCCATTTCTATTGGGTTTATAGTATTTACCGTGTTATTTAAGATATTGTTGAATTTAGAGTTTGTTGTAAATAACCTTCTTATCCATGGTAGTTTCTGAGATTTTATAGTTTCTAGTATATCTGGAACTTTCAAGCCGCCTTCTTTATAGTTTCTGATTATGAAAGATCTTTTAATTTTGTCTGGATTGCCTCTTTTTCATTTGAATTGTATTCATTTTTGGGTTTTGCAGTGAGGAAAATAAATAACTGAGTGTGGGAAATATTAGGCTTTTCAAGATTGTTATTCTGCCGAATGGTGTGAGATCTCTTAGTGACCAACGTTTCATTAATTTATCCATTTTCTTTAGTTTATCTTTATAGTTTCTTTCAACCATTTCTGCCTTATTATGTTGAAATAGAATACCTAGCAGTTTGAAAGGTCTTTGCGTCCAGTCCAGATAATAATCTCTGCAATACTGTGTACTTGAGAATTATTTAGAAATATCCACATATTTTAGTTTTATCAATGTTTTTTTCAAGACCAGAGAAGGATGCATACTTCTAATGATTTTTTAAAAAAACGTTCAGATCCGTCTAAAATTATAGTTGTATCGTCTGCACACTGTGTTAGCAAATATTCTAAGTCTAACATTTTTATCCCTTTTATTTTGTTATTATGACGTAGCATGTAGGCAAGGACTTCTGCGACTATGAGAAATATGTATAGCGATAGAGGATCACCTTGTCTACAGCCTCTAATCATGTGGAAGAAATCTGATGCAAAACCATTTATTAAGACGCTAGAATTTATGTTATTGTAAAATGTTTTAATCCAGATTGATGTTCCACATTAAAAAAAGAAAAACATTTCTCAATAAACGTCCATTCAACGGAATCGAAAACGTTTTCAAAGTCTATCATTACCAATAATCCTGGTATATTCATATAGTCTGTATATTCCATAATGTCACTAACCAATCTCGTACATTCACCAATGTATCTATCTACCTTTCATGAAGCCTTTCTGATCGTCGCTTATTATTTTCGGGAGTACACGTTCTATTCGCCCTGAAATTACAGACGAGGCTAGTTTATACGATATATTAAGAAGTAATATGGGCCTGTAGTTTTTAATTTGGTCTTTTGGTTTATCTTGTTTGGGAATACATGTTATAAGGCCCTGTTTTGGGCTTACCTAAGCTCACCTCTTTTGAAGGCGTGATTCAATGTGTTTATCCAAATATTTGTTAACATCATGCCAAAAGAATTTGTAAAATTCCGCAGTAAATCCAGTAAACGGCACACGCTTTAATAGAACACGTCGGCGGATAGGGTGTGATGCTTCTTTGTAACATCCCAATGGCGTTGTCCTAAAACTCAAACATTGAGTTTGTCAAGAGAATGCAAATGCAAATTTTGTTACACGCGACTGCATAAAACATTCTTTAAAAAGCAGTTGCTGGTTCAAAAGGAATATTACTGGGGGGAAAGTTCTGAGAACTTGTTATGGACAGTTATGGAACTGTTTGAAGTTGTGAATGACACAGACTCGCCATTCTTGCATTTTGTGCGAGATTTACGAATTTAGGAACTAAAGTTACAGAACTGACTGTCGAATATAAACCCTGAAGGAATGAAGTAAGTCTCTGGTCTGATCGGCCGAGTCTTGCAACTCATTAATAAGTGGTTCTATTAGTTTAACCCACATACCTCTATTTACCGTTTATTTCGCAGGCATTATCGATGTGAAAAATTCAGCTCTCCGTACAAGTATATAATTAGGTAAGATAAGATGAGATTAGAAAAGCTTTTATTATCCAGTAGGAAATTGATTTACAGAGTACAAGATCTACAGCAATATATAACAACAAGTCACGGTATCACAATACTTAAGAATGTATGCATATATACACAGAATACATAATATTACAGACAAGTGCTTGTAGTTATGAATGATCGCCGTTCCTGTGTCTTTTCATTGTCGGCATTCTCAGGCATTGTCCGAAGTGAGGTTTTTGTTATGTGAGGAAAAAAATTCGATATTTTCCTCACAATTCAGTGAATTTACTGTTTGTCAAATGCTTAGTCTATGATTTTATGAGCGGCGTTAATAATGTTTTTAAACTATTTTGAACAGAAATTTCAAAAAAACATTAACACAAATCACCAGTTTGTTTTCTGTACCAGACAAACAGACAATCAAAACAACAAGGGACGATTGCTTCACGAACAGTGAGTTGGCTTAAAGAGTAAACAACTGTTGCTGTCGACATATATACGTCTAGCAGCCTATTTGGGTTTGGAAAGCAATCAGACAAACAATCGTTTGTGTATTTGACCACGGACATTTCTTGTTCAAAATGGCTTTTACAAGAATACGGCTAGTGATTCCTTGCGAAGCTGGCGCTCATCCCCTTGGCTACCTCCATTAGGACAGAAACAGATTGCCACAGGACCGACAACTTACACAATAAAGATATATACAGATCTGGACTGCCTCAGCGTAACATAACCGGTTCTACTTCGTCAGACAAAGCACCCCTGAATGCCTCAGTTTTGTAAAAAATGTATAAATACAAGTTTAATTATCCATTTCTTCATTTTGAATTAGCTGTTAAAATGCATGTTTCTCAGTTACAAGATGCCTTTATAAATCTATGCATGTGTCTCAGTATCTGTTAAATGCATTAGATGCTTATAGCATGACAAAGGGCATATCTATATTGTCATTAGATAAAATGCAAGCAGATTTCAGCTGTAAAGGTTGTTAGAATACAATAGCAGATCCATTCTCCTCCATTATCAGTTGCCTAATTGTTGACCAAAACTCATCTCCATCACTGATGTCTATGATATGCTCCTCTGGTACAACATTCAGCAGCAGCATCGGAACTCTTGCCTTCACTTGCGGGGACACGTCTTTGTACAAGAGAATAATGCGACCAGTGATATCATTGTGGGAAGAAAAGAGTCTCACGGCAGACACAATAGTGAAGTGTGTCCACTCATCTGTGAACATTCTTTCAGAGATTACGACGACGACTTTCCAGCTGTTACTCAATGCCTCAATAATGGCATCAGCCTTGGAACACCCAGGCAGCTCATGTAGGTCAGGCAAATACAGTCTTATGTTATCGTCTAGCCTCTGTAGCTGCGGAAGCAGACACAGACATGGCCACTGATATTCTGAATTCTCGTAGGTGATGTAAGCATCAAACATGAAATCCTTTCTCTTCAGAGGTTCAATACTATTGTAACCGAATTTGTTCAGCAGAAAGTTTTCAATTTTAGGTGAATATTTTTTCAAAAGAAAAGCAGCTATAATGGACATGATTTGCAGAAGGAATAACACAATGGAAACTGTAAACCAACGCTGCCCTATACACTTTTTCCAGTGGTACTGAAAATGTATACTGAACAACCAAGTGTTCGATGTTAATCCCTCATTTGTCAGACAAGAATAGTTGCCTCGGTTATCCAGATTCACTTTCGTGGCCTGTAGCCATTGAATAAATCCAAGAGAAAAGCAGGAGCACACGAAGGTATTACCTTTTAGATGTAGATTGAAATCCTCCCAGTTTTCAACTATGTTATCAAGCGCATTCATGTCCCTCTCTGGCAATGAACTCAATGCATTGAATGATAAGTCAAGATTCTTTAAACTTTTCATGTTGTATATTTCCTCGGGTATGCAAGTAAATGTGTTTTCAGACAAAACGAGCGACTCCAATTTTGTGAAGCTTGTGAATGTGTGTTTTTCTATCTGAAACATTCCTTGTCCAGAAAGATCCAGTATTCGGAGATGAGGAATATCGAGAAATATCTTGGATGTCAGGAAACCCGGTGGAAAATAAGTATGGTCAGCATACAGTTCTTTTATGTTAGTTCTGATATCTGTGTTCTCAAACGATGACGGGTGAAAGGACCCATGAGATAAATACAACTTTTGTACATGACATAGACCTTTTATAAAGCCTCGTATGTATTGAAAACCGAGATGCGAAAAGTCAAGTGTATGAAGATTGGTTGTATTCATGAGCAAGACTTCAAAGTTAACGTCGTCATGGCCAAGAGTGTGTAACCCCAGTCTTTCTAACATAGGAGGCATGTGAAGTGTTAATCCTATCCCTTTCCGTCTTTTTGAAAAGTTTCCAGTCTTGATAATTCACCTGTATCCAAGTTTGACAATGCACCAACATTCAAAACCTGTAGATTTCTGAAAATCTGAAGTTTAAAGAACAATCCACCATCACCGTAAAGGGAATTCTCACTTAAATCCAGATTCTTCAAGCAATTGTAAAATGGTGAAGGAAAAACTGCATCAGCGCGAATTATCCGTAGTCTGTTTTGAGACAAATCAAATTTGTCCACGCATATCTCTGACACATACAGCATCATGGTTCTTGTTACTTCATCATTAGATCCTATACGCCACCGGGTGTCCTGAATACCGCGCAAACTGATTGTGGTCATATTTCTTCCAGAAAATGAATGCAAAGATCTCATTGCCTTGTCTAACGTCATTCTTCCGGAAAATCGGTTTTGGATGAATATGGTCTTCAATTGTGTAAGTGGAGAAAATATATTTTCGTCCATATCATCAATATGTCCATTTAAACGTAAAGTCGTGAGGGAAGTGCTACTCAGTATTACAAAGGTCGAATTTGGTAATACTCTACCGTACCAGTCGTCAATTTCGGTCACACTTAAATAAGACAGTTTTTGTAAATGTTGAAAGCAAAATGACTGATTTAGGTTTGGCCAGTAACTGAGTTCGAGGTGTTTTAGGTTTACTAAATGTTCAAATATATTACATGGAAATTTTCCATAACCGACCTCTTCCATTGTTGGCGTCAGTTTGAGGATTTGTAGATTCCACAAGTGTCTAAAAATACCATCAGGGTAAGTCTCTGAGTTCACATGTAAGTCGTTGCCACTTAAATCCAAAGATATTAAATTCAATAAACCATTAAACGCTCGTGATTCAAGTTGTGAAATATGATTAGCAGACAAAATCAATGCAGTTAAGTTACTGTAAAGATAGAATGTATTGTTTTTCAGTTGAGTGAGGTAATTACTTTGGAGATTAAGCACTGCAATGTCTCTTGGGAGATGCAATGGAACCGTTTGGAGTTGTCGCTTGCTACAGTCCGCAATCAGAGTCCTCCCGGAAGCATCATAGTGAACGTCACATGTTGATTGTGCTTTGTAAACATGAGTCAAGACGAGAAGTGAGAACACAATTAGCATTTTTGTTTTATCCAGAATATCGAAGTAATTCTTCCTGGAAAAGAAACGACTTACTATTAATTGAATAAATGACAATAATTTCAGCAACTGATGCATAAACATGAATATATTTCCTCATTTTAACTTTAATTCGATATTGTTAATACGGTTACACAAATTTTGAACGTATTCACAAATATCCATTTTTCCCCAAGATGGAGAACCTTCCACATTACTTTCGGAATCATTGCCTGAGAAACAGAGCTTTATCCTCAGGCTAGGCCTAACAAAACATAGCACAATCTTGTGGTCACATCTGAGTACAAATTAATTCTCTGTATTCTCTGAATGGTCGCCGGGTCTGTTCTAATATTCCTGTCATGTTCTTATGTATGTCATAAAATATCTACATTTAATTTTCAGTGGATGATGCTTTGTTTCTTCTAGTTGCTAGTACTGTGTACAAAGTTGCTATGTGCTACTCAGGTACTTCATGAATTAAAATTCAATGGATGGCAAATTAAACCTTAAGAAGTATAGTTTCAAAATACTACACGGAAAGTATGAAACTGCATAGTTATTTTTACCAGAAATTAGACAAAGGCGAAAGGACAACGTCTATAAAGAGCTCCATTTCCATATGGTAACAGATGTTCAAAACCAAAGTCTATCGGGTTTCCATGGATTTCAAACGAGGATAGGGATCGTTTCGGTAGTAACGCTTCGTAACTCACAACCTGTTTCCTTTCTTCTTTGTATTTGGCAAGATGGGTCACAAAAATACAAGTATATATTACCTACGTTTACTTCCTGGAGTCCTCACAGATAGAAGTCGAATCTCTCTCGCCTCGCTCAGCTGCGTCAGCCAGAAAAACGACTCCTGACAGATAATGTGTGATCAGTGTTGTGCAGCCAGGTAGAAGTCCAGGCTTGTGTCCCTTTAACTATATGAGCGTAGTCGTCATAAATCAACTTCTCGTGGTCACTGGAACACGGTACTGGCGCCAATAGATTTCAGACCTAGAACAAAAAATACGATAGCGATAGTGTGGCTAAGATAAGGTCATTTGAAAGGTTCCATTAAGAACATGGGGGTGACGAGTTTTTATCTGCCTTTTTGGAGTGAGTTTGTGAGTGGGTTTGGTTTTACGCCGCTTTTAGCAGGTCTGCGTTATGAGAAAGACGTTGTGAATTCATTGGTGAGTCGCTTCTTTTACATACAAACCACATAAGACTGTGGTGTATATATCATGAGTAACATGGGAATACGTTCCGACAATCAAGCGGAAACCCTTAAGGTGTTATGTGTATGTAACGTCCGTATACAATCAAATAGTGTCAAAATCATGCCATTCATACGAAACTAATGCCCGTTTCACATATGTGAGCATGTTATCAGTGGAAAATAGGGCTAAATACCTAAATGTACTTGCATTTTAAACTTAATTTACTTGCTACCGTAAAACCATATACTGTTAATATAGCAGTTACTGTAAATGAGTCGGGGTTTTTTCCATTTATTGAGATGTTGAAAGGCAGGAAACGAAACGAGTATAGCTAAGGTAATCTACTGTTGGAATGGTCTATTTTCAATTTGGGGCTGAAAAGCATCTGTTATGAAATTAACTTCACGTCTTTTCTGCCTTTTGGGAAGACCTCATTGTGACAAAGAGCCTTCACTGCTTCATCAAAGCCCCATGTATCTAGCTGAACCGTGAGTCTGTGGAAACATTGGTGTCACAGACAAATACGGTTTTAATGTATGTATCATTCATGCTATGGACATATGTGTATCCATATACTGACAAACAAAGATACAAACATATAGTGTCAAAACCACGTCATTCATTATAAACTTATAGCCATGTGACATATGTGAGCTTGTTAGCATTGGCAAATAGGGCTGAATACCCAAATGTACTTTCATTTTAAACTTAATTTACTTACGACAATGTAAAAACGTGATTTAAATCATATAATGTTAATAGTTTGTTTTATAAGTTAAGTTCCATGTGATTAATACGGTTAGACGGTAAGAAGATGCACATGTACTACACAAGTCCGGCAAACATGATTCCAAATTACACATAATATGTAAAAGCTATCTCAGTCACCCTAACCATTAGATAATACACAGTAACCGTTGTGCTTACTCAGTCTTTTGCTCGACTGCTGAAATATACGTGTCATGACTCGCGACAGTTTATCAAACTATAGTTTCGATCATATTATAACTCATGGAAATACGTTGATATATTCAAGCAATACTTACATGGACGACCGTTCATGTTCATGCCTCTAACGATGTGTTCTGTCTAGCAGACAAGGAAAAATGCGAACATAATCTTTTTATTTTCACTGGAACGTTCTAACTGACAGAGCGAGGAAGTATTATTTAATGGTGCATTTCTAATGAGTGTTCACTGTTAGTGACAGGAGTTTGAATGACTTACGCATTGTTAAATATTGCGCCCTATAGGGTTTCTCATGGACAATATATATATTGGTAGTAGTGTGCTATTCATACATGTAAATGAATGCCGGTCTGTTGAATGCCATATCAGGTAACATGTTCTCTCATCCGTATGATATTGTGGTGATTCGTAGCTACACACAAACACAAATCCCATTGGTAAGGAACAGAAAAATGATACCATGACAGTGAACACAATTATTCGCAGGCCTGAAATGAATTCAACACGGAAGTCCCTGATCCCCACTCGAATTACTCCCAACGTAAATTATCAAAAGAGCCTTCAATGTATCACCTGTCAAGCTCGGAACTCAACGAACACTTAGGTATGGCATGGCAGCTTTCATTTTGGTTTGTCAGAGTAAATCAAGTGTATATGAATCAAATCATAATGTATGGGACACAGACTCATGCGCCTCATACAGTTCGTGAAAGGTATGCTTACGCTTTTAAAACATAAAGCTATAGTTTGCCTTCAGATAGGACCGTCTCCATGGTGTAGTGGTTAGAGCGTACACCCGGAGACTTGTTGGTCCCTGCCTGGCGCTCGGCATTAATGGGTACAACAAGGACTGGTCGGCTCGGAGTCAGTATAATGTGTCTGAGTAGGGTATTCATGCTTCACTGCGGCATGGTATCTCAGTGGGCTAGCACTATAAAACCAGCTTAAGTCTGGACTAGTACAAGCAGCCGCACATACACATACACACGTATGTACGTCGTCATATGAGCGAAATATTCTCAAGCACGACGTTAAACCCAATTTCACCTCACCTCACAGCCTTATGATAGCAAGGAAGGTTTATATACTCGCGACATTAATAAAGGGTCAAGCTACACAGCGGGTGGCCAAAATATTACGTACATTGATGGCGGCTGAGTGCCACGCCTCCTGTCAGCGCGGTTTATTCAAATGGTGATAGAGCATGAAATAAAGGGTGACTTACCTAATACTTGGTCATATGACCCTTGTTCCTCAAAATATTCACTATTCTCCGTGGAATTGATCTGTACAAGTTCTGTATGTAGTTAACTGGCGTGTTTTGCCAGATATCCCTGATTTCTCTCTCGAGATCAGTTGCCGACTGAATATGTTGTCGGCGACCGGGCAACTTGTTTTTCAACATCAACCAACAATTTTAATTATATTTGCATCCGGTGATTGTGCAGGACATACCATGCCATTTATGTCATTCTTTTGTCTATAGTTTTGTACAATTCGGGCCCGATGCACAGGGGCTTGGAAGATATAATTATTTCCAGAAAAATGACCTGCTACAACAGGCCAGAGGTGAGAATCTATGTCTATATATTTCTGGGCATTTATATTGCCGTTAACAACAGTCAAAGTCCGGACATCATGCCAAGTAATGCAAGCCCATATCATCAAACTCACTCGAGGCTGCCGACCTGGACACAGGCATTCGGGCAGGTACTCTTCGCCGGGCTGTCTCCAAATATAGACACGATTATTTTCTCCAAGAATAACCTTGCATTCATCACTGAATATTACTCTATTCCAGTAATGATCCACAGTTTTGTATCTTTGCCCTCTTGCCCTTGCGAGACTTTTTCTGATGTTCCCTCTGATTCTTATTTTCTAACGATACGCCTGTGAAATTTATTCTTATGTAAAACCCTTCTAATGTCCTCTGTGAGACAGGGGAATTCCTACCCCTATTAAAAATGTTCGTTATTTCATGTAAAGGTGCGATGCGATTGTCTTTCACGATCCGAAACAACTGTCTCCTACCTCTCTGTGACAACTTGGCGACACGACCTGTTCGATGGCCATTTTCTATCGAGCCTCTTCGATGAAAACGATTTACACAAGAATAAACAGTACTTGCAATAGCTGAATAATTTTGGCCATCTTGATATCTTTCTACAATAATAGTTTTAACGGCTGAAGGCAAGTCTTGGGATTTTCCCATGTCGACAAAAATAGCAGACGGAAGCGAGCAGACGACTTTTTTCAGTCACGTGAGTGTCACGTGACGATAGAGCGTGTTCGGTTCTATTATTTCGCTAAGTTTGGTTATGTTTAGAGTGGTAGTTTTCAAACGCGATAGTTTCAAAGGAAGATTAATTTCTAAATTTACTAAAAAATATGGACAATGTACGTAATATTGTGGCCACCCGCTGTATATAAACAATAATTCTTAAAAAACCTTAAGTTTGTTTTTGCTTGAAATATATACACGCATAACATTTGAAAGGTCGTCTCGTGTAGAATCTCCAAAATACATTGATTTCAGGTAACAGGATCTCTTACGGATGATAATATCAGGTGAAGAGTATCTGTCCCACTGTGGGAGATCCTGCATGTTCCATACCTAATATTCCCTCAGTGGGAGATCCAAAAATGTTCTATACCTTTTGTTCCCCCTGTGGGAGATCCGACATGCTCAATACATTATATTCCCTCAGTGGGAGATCCTACATGTTCTATACTTATATTCCATCAGGGGTAGATCCGACATGCTCTATAGCTTATATTCCCTCAGAGGGAGATCCTACATGCTCTATACCTTACATTTCCTCAGTGAGAGATCCGACATCCTTTATACCTTATATTCCCTTAGAGGGAGAACCGACATCTTTTATACATTTTATACCCTCGGTGGGAGATCCGACATGCTATATAGCTTATATTCCCTCAGAGATCCTACATGTTCTATTTCTTATATTTCCTCAGGGGGGAGATCTGAGATGCTCCATAGCTTATATTCCCTCAGTGGGAGGACCAACATGCTCAATACCTTATGTTCCCTCAGTGTGAGATCCGACATTCTCTATAGCTTATAATCCTTCAGGGGGAGATCCGACATGCTCAAAACTATATATTCCCTCAGTGGGAGATCCGACACGCTCTGTAGCTTATATACCCTCAGTGGGAGATCCTTATGTTGTACATGTTGTATACCTTATATTCCCCCGGGGGAAGATCCGACATGCTCTATAGCTTAGATTCCCTCAGTGGGAGATCCGACATGCTCTATACCTTATATTCCCTCAGTGAGAGATCCAAAATGCTCTATACCTTATATTCCCTCAGTGGGAGATCCGACATGCTCTATAGCTTATATTCCCTCAGAGATCCTACATGTTCTATACCTTATATTCCCTTAGTGGTAGATCCTACATGCTCTATACCTTATATTCCTTCAGTGGGGACATCCAACATGCCCTATACCTTATATTCCCTCAGAGGGAGATCCTACATGTTCTATACCTTATATTCCCTCAATGGGAGATCCGACATGCTCTATACCATGCATTTCCTAAGTGGAAGATCCAACATGTTCTATACCTTATGTACCCTCAGTGGGACCTCCGACATGCTCTATAGCTTATATTCCCTCAGTGGGACATTCTCCATGTTCTATACGTTATATTCGCTCTGGGGGGAGATCCGACATGCTCAATACCGTATATTCCCTCAGTGGGAGATCCAACATGCTCTATATCTTATATTCCCTCATTAGGAGATCATAAATGTTCTATACCTTATATTTCCTCAGTGCTAGATCCTCCATGCT